CAGCAGCAGCAGCAGCAGCAGCAGCAGCAGCAGCAGCGAGCGGTGGGAGCGGACGGCCGTGACGATGAAGTGCAAGCCGAACCAAACGCGCACCTACGACCCGGAGGGGTTCAAGAAGCGGGCGGCGTGCCTGTGCTTCCGGAGCGAGCGCGAAGACGAGGTGCTGTTAGTGAGTAGCAGTCGGTACCCGGACCGCTGGATCGTGCCTGGCGGGGGCATGGAGCCCGAGGAGGAGCCGGGCAGTGCGGCTGTCCGAGAGGTGTTCGAAGAGGCGGGAGTCAAGGGGAAGTTAGGCCGGCTCCTGGGCATTTTCGAACAGAACCAAGACCGCAAGCATAGAACGTACGTGTACGTACTGACCGTCACAGAGATTCTGGAGGATTGGGAAGATTCGGTTAGCATTGGGAGGAAGCGAGAGTGGTTCAAAATCGAAGATGCGATCAAGGTTCTCCAGTGCCACAAGCCCGTGCATGCCGAATATCTGGAGAAACTAAAGCTGGGCGGCTCCCCAACCAATGGAAACTCGGTGGCCCCGTCTCTGCCACAGAGCGATCCCTAGTATGTACCGCTCCTGCACAGACTTCTGCTTTCCGCCTACCTTAGAATAAATAGTGCCCGGAGCACCTCTGCTGCCTAGTGAGGTCTCTCGGGGAGGAGGGGGGCTTCTTTTGTTTCCTTGGCAGACCTCTGAATCACGCTTGCAAACTGTCTCAGTTGCCAGGCACTGTTTTCAGACAATTTGCACGTTTTTCAGATGCTTTGAAAATCGCTGCTTCGTAGGACTGTAACAGATTTCGGTAAGCCTAAGCCACGTGGGTTGTTTTTTTTTTTTTTTAAGGTCCCTTAATTGCTCGATCTGCTCTAGAGTGTGCGTGTGTGTGTGTACACGTGTGTACACGCTGTGCGTGTTTTTTTCCGTTTCACACACGTGTGTATGTGCATGTGTGCATGTTTGGTACCATAGCCTTGCGGTTCGTTTTGTAGTGAAGGCCTTTTATATCTAAACATCTTGGCGGTGTGGCATCTTTATTTATTTTTTTCTTAACTTGCTTTCTCATTCACAGCATTAGCCCTTGCTAGCAAGCCCTTCTGTGATGGCATAGTCATGGAGTTTTAAAAAATATTTCAGAAATTTCACATCTTGTGGTTCGGTCTTTCCTTACCGGGCAATAATTTTGTGTTCAGTGATGTGATCTAATTTGCCCTTTTCAGAAGTTTCTTTACTCATAGGGACATAATTTGATTTTCAAAAAAAATTTCACCAGTGGTAATTTTTTGATGCTTATTTGAAATGGACATTTCCCATATAGCGCAATGTACTTTAACAAAGTATTACTTTAGACAGTGAATATCTTTATTGGGAAAGTATTGTTAGCCAGACACATCCTGATGTGTACATATTATCATGAAAACTGTATTCGTAGAGTGTGATTTAGCCTGTTCAACTTCCAACTCCATTGCACATTTCTTAATACCCTAGAATAACCATGGTTCGTTCACTCAATATTAACTAGTCTTTGAAAAAAAGTTATTTCATATATTTGAATTGAGTGACATTCTAGTTAACCTTCCTGACATTCCAGTTTACCTCTTAATCATTACTGATAGCTTTTTTGTGTCACGCAGGTAACCTTTGGGAGATCACTTTTATGTACTCTCTATTAAGAAACCAGTAACCAAGGGATGGAATTTATATGGTAATGACATCCCAATCCAGTGATGTATCTTTCTTGATTTCGGCTGCTCCAGACTTCTTAAACTGTCAGGACACCTGAACAATCTTTCTTAAAGTTTCAGGATCAACCTTTCCTGTCACAGGACAAACACTTTTGGGTGCCAAACTAAAAACTCTTACATTTGCCTTGTTAACTTCCTTGAGATCATGAATCTCAGCTAACTTGGGGGATCATTTTTATGTACTCTGTATTAAGAAATTTTGAAAGTCTTGATTCTTCTTAGACCTCCTTATCTTCTCTCAGGAAGGTTGAGAAAAAGACTATTTTATGAATAGAGTATAGATGGGGGATATTTTTTACATACAACAATTAACTAGAAAATATTCTATAGACTAGTAATAAATATAAGTGGGTAATAACTGTAATTCAAATATTTTGTTACTCTGCATAGTAACATTTTTAAAAAGAATACAAACTCTGGTAGAATTGACTATTGTTACCTTTTTTAAAACTTTGGTGCAATTTTTAAAAAATTATTTGCCATATATAAATGTCTTAAGCACATATTTAATTAAGAAAAAATAATATTGTGAAAGGAATGAGTAGAAAACCAACAGCTTTTAAAAAACAATTATATAATTTCATATTGTAAATTATGCAGATCATGTTTTTCAAAAATTATATTTTTTTATACAAAAAGACATATCATTTTTTAAACAAATTTTCTAGATCCTACACGTTGGCCTTTCCATATTACAGTAGTCCAACTGCTAGATCTTCTTGGTAACTTGAAATTTTTCAAAGTGTACACTAATTGCAAAGGAACTGGAGTATTGCTTTACAACTGTATCCTACATAAATAAGGCTGCCCTCATCTAAAATGCAGCCACAAATACCTGGGAGGTATAACCTATATATGGAATTCTTAGAGACTATAATATGTTTTGACTTTTGAACTATGTGTTTGGTACATGTTGATAGTACAGTGTTGATATTAATCAAGTCTTAAGAATTGTTAGTTGTAAATATTTGTATTTTATTCAGAAACATTTGGATTGAGTTCTGTCACTTGCTAGAATTTTCTTCAGTGCCCAGATATCTTTAATTTATGCAATTTGTAAAACTTCCAAGGCTTACATTTCTTTTTCTTTATGTTGTTTATTTCTGAAAGAGAGAGAGAGTGAGTGAGAGAGCATGGGAGGGACCAAGAGAAGTAGGAGACACAGAATCTGAAGCAGGCTACAAGCTGTCAGCACAGAGGCTGACATGGGGCTTGAACCCAGGAACCAGGATATCATGACCTGAGCAGAAGTCAGACACTTAACTGACTGAGCCACCCAGGTGCCCCCCAAGGCTTGCATTTCTAAGTTGTAGCCGAACATTACAGTTATCACAATTAAGTTAAGCTTTCAGATTCACATGGACAGTTCTTGTTATATATGCTTCTGGAGTTCAGTCTAGAAAAAATTAAGTGAAAGAACCCAAAAAGCCTTTCATTAAAAAAAAAAATTAAAGGCTTATTTATTTACTTGTTAGAGCGAGAGAGCGAGCTGGGAAAGGGAGGGGGGGGAGAGAGAGAGAGAGAGAGAGAACGAGAACCCTAAGCTGACTGCACATTGTCAGCAGGGAACCCAGTGCAGGGCTCAAACTCATAAACCCTTGAGATCATGGCCTGAGATCTAGAGTCAGACACTTAACTGACTAAGCCACCCAGGCAGCCCTAAGAACCCAAAAACCCTTTCATTTTAAAAAAGACATCCGAAGAATCCAGGCTAAAACATTTGGCACAGAGCTAACAAACCTAATCATGTCAATAACTTACGTCTCCTAAGAGGTTAATGCACAGTTGGAATTTTCTCCCTGGAGAGTCACTGTATAGCACCCACAAATTATTTATGTGATGATTGCACAAAAAATGAATGGATGAATCTTTCAGCTCATACCTCCCCCCCCCCAACAAAAAAACACAGGGCATTGTTCGAAGATAATTAAGACTTTCAAATATAGGTAGAATTTGATTTCAGCATGTTTTTGTTTTCAGCATGTTTGGTTCCCCTCCCCCCAACTGGACAAGTGCCTATCTTTAACTGTTTAAAAACATTTTAAAAAGACATGTTGGATAAAGGTAATATTGGTATGCTTGATACATAAATTTCCCTGGATGTCGAAAGTATTATATTTTCAAGGAAACCTATGTTTTGTGTATCAAATCATTGCTGAAATAAGTAACTCTGAAAGGGATGGGGGTGGCTATAAATATTATGAATTCCTTTGTAGGGTTTCATAGAGAATTTTAAAGATTTCAACATTTTTGTATTAAGAAACATCAAGTAGTGTGTGTTTGTTTAAGAGCAGGAACAGGCAGTTTTTAAAGTAGCAGCATTAGAGGGCCCTTCTGGGACAGATGATTTAAAGGGCTCTGAAGCTGGAGCTGCTCCTCTCACTTCCCTTTAAATGGAGTCCACTTATAAGAAAGACAATTTCTTTATCAAAAGCTGTGAGCCAGGAAAGCGAGGTGAAAAATATGCATTAGAGCCTAAGTACTAACAGCTGGCTAGAGTTTTCTTTTCCAGGGTCCAAGCACCAAGAGAAACAGGAAATATTTTCAGGACCATTCTAGTATTATAATCATCTTTCTGAATGATTGCTGGCCTGCTAGATAATGAAGTCTTTGAGGAATAGGACCCAGCCTGAATCCTGTCAATATTCTCAGAGCCTTCAGAAGAGTAGCTAAAGTTTGGAGACATTTGTCACTGAACCACAGATTAGAAATGTCTACTATTAGTGTATTCTTGATTCTTAGCTTCATATTTTATCTGGGACAGCCTGTTATTTTCATCTGGCCTCATAGCGGAACTGCGTTGGATAATTCACTGAAAGTTTTTATTAGCGTCTCAATAAATATTTGTTTACTAGAGGAATTGATGAACCAATAAAACTATTAACAAGATTTTTTTTTTTTTAGGTGAATGGCACAGATGTTATTCAGATTTACTTTGAAAGAAGTATGTAAACCCAATGATGGATGGAATTGTGAAACACAGATGAGCTCTTTCACACTCCCAAGGATAAGATCATCCTATGCTTTTGGACACTTCTCTGTTTATTACAGTGACTGTTCTCCAGATTTTTATACTACCACTGTCTCTATACGGACTTCTAATTTGCCACCTAAGGCCTTTTTTTGTGCTTTTATGATTATCTGTATTTCCCCCCAGCTTGGTTATACTGCAAGGACCTTGTTTCCTTAGTCTTTTTATGTATCTAGCATACAAGACATCACCTGAAATATGGAAGACGTTGCTGAAGATTTGTTTAAATAATATTTTGTAATGTAACAGAGTATCATGTAAAGCATTTACCTTCTAATCTGGTGTTAGCACACTAAATTGCTGTCTAGCATATACATGTATTTTGTATATCAGGTATCACATACTATTTTTAGGCTGCTGTGAAATATTAGAAAGCAAAAATTCTTACTCCTATGTCTCTGTCATCCTGGACATGTGCCTCCTGATGACAGTATACTACACCACCTATGAAATATATTTGCCACAATTTTGAACCTAAATCAACTGTGCCTCTAGACATTCCTAATCTATAGAATATACAGGGAATAGAGAAACATTACACCCCAGAGTTGATGTCCGCAGAATCCAGACTATAGGAAACTGTAGGACAGTTTCATTTCTTCAGTAAATGAATTGCCAGAATGAAAGAAAGAAATGGAAGGTGAACCTATAGTTGAAAATAGACTTAAGAGACATATCAACCAATTGTAATATATGGATCTTTTTGGGATCCTGATTTGACCAAACTATAAAATACATTTATGAGACAATCCAAATAATTATAAAATTGATTTGATATTTGATATTCATTGGGATAATGATGGTTTTGTCAAAAACAAGAGTTCTTACTTTTAGAGATACATTCTTTAATATTTATGGTTGAAATGATATCTGGAATTTGCTTCACAATAAGTGGATGTTAAGTGCATTAGAGAGACCAATAAAACAAGATTGGCCTTGACTTTGTAATTGTTAAAGCTGGGTGATGATTAAATGATGGTTCATTATATATGTATATACATATAAGTGTGTGTGTGTATACATATATATGTATATATATTTTTGTCCTCTCTACTTTTGTATGTTTGACATTTTCCATAATAAAAAGTTAATGAAAATAGTTTTCAGAGTTCTTATTAGAACTAATATATAAGGCACAGAGAAAAAAAGAGGAGCAAGAAAAATTTTAGAGTGTTTAGAGAATGTTTGCTCCAAGATGCCTCTTCTAGGCCAGGAAGTCAAATGTCCCAAAAGAGAGGGCTGACAAATTCTGGAATGGCTAGTGTTTCTCTTGCTACAGGCCAGTGTTAGGAGGGTATTTTTTTTTTTCCTTCTCAATTTGGCTCATTGAAATAGGAAGAGTTAAATTCTTACTTATTGGAAAATGGGAATGGATTCTCCTGTTGAGCAGGATATTTGACACAGTGTAGTTTGTATCAATGTGAAAGAGCAAAGGGATGGAGTCTCCAAGGAACAAATTTATGGAATTTTATAAAAATCAGTAAAATGCCATTTTTGAATAGATTTTTTTAGGAAAATAGTGGCGGTAAGCTTGTTAGTTGCATATTCATTAACTGTATATTTGAAGGTAGGTGACACAGGAAGGTAAGTAGTTAACATTCCTGACTGCGGATATTCCTTCTGCTTTGGATTGTGTTTAAAATTCCTGTAAAGGCTAAAGCTTGCTAAGTCAGAGTTAGTGAAGCTGTGCTGAAATCAACAGACACGTGGTCTGTCCCAACTTCTGTGGGTCAAGCAGGAGCAGGCAGGAAGATTAACATTGGAGGCTCCTTCTAGGAAAGATGAACACCTTTATTAGTGTGAAGTACTGTGAAGCTGAAGCTGCCCATTCCCAAGAGCAAGCAGATCCCCAGAAACAGCTGTTTCCTGGAAAAGGAGAGATGAAAGGTTTGCCTTAGAGTGCTCCTTACTCCCCCACAGCTGGGCAGAGCTTTCCCTTCCAAGGTTCCCCTACTAAAAGGAACAGAGAAAGTCCACAAAATTTTTCATCCATCTTTTCCTAGAAGTTGTTTCTTAACTTGAGTTTACCCTGATTTTAGTAGGTTTTTAAAATTTGGAGGCAGAAAGGGCCAGGTGACTGGAACTGTAGGTGGTAGTTGTAAATTAAATAGTAGTTTGGAGTCCAATAGGCCATGGTTCAAACCGGTTGTGTGGCCGCTGCCAAGTTATTTTACCTCTCTAATCTTCAATTTTCCCTTCCATAAAATGGGGGCAGGAATAGACCCTACCTTTGTAAACAGCACTGCTTCTGAGAAGCTCTTCTTGATCTCTTGGGGTATAGTATACTCTTGTGTTTCTAGGTACTCCTCTGCTTTGTTATTTCATAGTTCTTATCAAAATTGCATTATATTTCATAGCCTGAATGTTTCTGCCTTCTGAACTTTAAAGTCCCCTGGCTCTGGGACTGAGACTAGATTGTCTCCGTATCCATAGAGCCTGGAACATGGTACCTCACGGGTGCTCATAACACCTTATATAAATGACTGCCATCCCTCCTACTTGTCAAAAATATATTGATGTTATTTTACCAGGTATTTGTTTGCTGGAAAATGTGAAAATTAGATGCCATAAGACTGGTCTATACTCAAATTTCTCTAAATTGGGAAAAAAATTTTGTCTATCCATCATGCTTCCATTTTCCAGAATCTTCCAGTAACAATTATTCCTAACTTTTTAGCTTCATAAAGTACTATGGAATATTCCCTCAGGTGCTGAACTGGCCCCACCACTACATTTGATAATTCACTGAATTTTCTAAATACAAATGATTTAAAGACATGGTAAGCCCTGGGTATGTTTTCAGTTTAATAAGTATCGAATTAATATAATCATGCCAATTATATCATCTTATTTTATGGATAAAAGATAGTAATTAGGATTATATGGTAACAAATTCACATATACAGGACAAGGCAAGGCCAAGACCTGACTGATTCTACTGGTAAAGATATGAGTTACTTTAATATTTAGACAGTGTATTACTTAAATACACAATGCAAAGAAGAATGAGCCTATGGTGCCAGCTCCCCAGGTTCTTGTCCCACAAACCCTAAATGACAACAAAGAAACAAAAGGGATTGTATGTGAATAGACATTTTTCCAAAGAAGACCTACAAATGGCTAACAGACAAATGAAAATATGTTCAACATCACTCATCTTCAGGCAAATACAAATCAAAACTACAATGAGATATTACCTCACACCTGTCAGAATGGCTAAAATTAACAAGACAAGAAACAAGTGTAGACAAGGATGCAGAGAAATGGAAACCCTCTTGCACAGTTGGTAGGAATACAAACTGGTGCAGCCACTCAGGAAAATAATATGGTTCCTCAAAAAGTTAAAAGTAGAACTACTCTACCACCCAGCAATTGCCTACTAAGTATTTACCCAAAGGATACAAAAATACTGATTCGAAGGGGTACATGCACCCCAATGCTTATAGCAGCATTATCAACAATAGACAAACTATGGAAAGAGCCCACATATCCATAAACTGATGAATGGATAAAGATGTGAGATATAGATAGATATATAGATACATATATGCACACACACACACACCAGAATTTTACTCAACCATAAAAAAGAATGAAATCTTGCCATTTGCAATAATGTGGAGGGAGCTAGAGAGTATTATGCTAAGTGAAATAAGTCAGAAAAATACTATATTATTTGACTCATGTGGAATTTAAGAAACAAAAGAAATGAGGGGAAAAGAGGCAAATCAAGAAACAGATTCATAACTATTGAAAACAGATAGTTACTGTAGATGTAGTGGGTGGGGGGATGGGTTAAATAGATGATGGGTATTAAGGAGTACACTTGTTTTGATGAGCATTGGTTGTATGGAAGTGATGAATCACTAAATTCTACATCAGAAACTATTATTGCACTGTGTTAACTAGCTGGAATTTAAATAAAAATGGGGTAAAGGGGGGACTGTATGACTGTGTTCTGGGAGGCCACAGGGTATTTAACCGAGACTCAGATTAGCTGCAGTTCAAACCTATATGAATACATGCAAAGGTGTCACCCACCATGAAGATTTCACAATTCCACTTTCCTTTCACATATCTCACTAGGAATTCTGTCTATAAACAAGCCACCAGTTGTGGCTACTCTGCAGATACAGAATAGACCCCACCCCCATCCAAAATTTAGTTCAGAGATTTAGACTGTTGATGTCACTTACACACCAAGAGAATATTCGAAGGTTTATTACTCACATAATGAGGCTTTACAAGGAAAGCAGAACAGGCTTCCAAAGCTGGTGTGAAAATGTCTTGAGAAAACAAGAAAAGGAGATTGGTTTGGATTTTTGCTGTGGCTAGAGGGTGACGCTGAGGTGAAGGCTCTAATGCACAACCAGGGCTTGAATGGTTTGAAACTCTCTGCCATCAAAGGAGAAAGCACTCAGGGTTTTTATTAGCTTGCCCAGATGTACAGCTAATAGGGAAGAGTGAGGCATGAGGTTTCAGAGCTGTCAGCAAACATCAAAATAAAATGGAGACAGACTTTATTAAAATTCATCCCTGATATTTGATGACTAAAAAGTACTGTTTCTTTACTTGAATCTGAACAGATTTAATAAGCCATTAAGGTATTCTGTGAGTTCTGTAGCCTGAGGCCTGTAAGGACGATGAAACTTCCGTCAAATGTCTTGCCCAGCATTGTGTATTCTGAGAAATGAAATGAATACCATGGACATGGCCAGCAATGCCCTTACCGCTGAAGAGGATAAGGACTCTCTTGATGAGGGCTTGTATTATAGCTTCTATATGTGTAGAGATGTGTATATACATATAACACCGAGTGCTCATCCCAAAAGTGTCCTCCTTAATGCCCCTTGCCCATTAGCCATCCCCCCCACAACCCCTCCAGTAGCCCTCATGTTACTCTCTCTATTTAAGAGTCTCTTATGATTTGTTTCCCTCCATGTTTTTATATTATTTTTGCTTCCCTTCACTTATGTTCATCTGTTTTGTATCTTAAATTCCACATATGAGTGAAGTCATATGATATTTGTCTTTCACTGACTAATCGCACTTGCATAATACACTCTAGTTCCATCCACATTGCTGCAAATGGCAAGAATTCATTCTTTTTTTGATTGCCAAGTAATATTCCATTATATATATATAAAATTTTATATATTTTATATATATTATATATATAATATTTTATATTTATATATATTAATTATTTATGTATATATCTATATATATTAATTAATATATTTTATATATAAAATTGCTCATAGATTTTATTTCATGAATATATATATATATATATATTCCAAAAGGGACAATCGTTTTTTTTTTTATGTTTTATTTATTTCTAGGAGAGAGAGAGAGAGACAGCATGAGCAGGGGAGGGTCAGAGAGAGAGGGAGTCACAGACTGAAACAGGCTCCAGGCTCTGAGCCGGCAGTCAGCACAGAGCCCGACGCGGGGCTCGAACCCACGAACTGCGAGATCATGACCTAAGCGAAAGTCGGACGCTTAACCGACTAAGCCACCCAGGCGCCCCCCAAAAGGGACAATCTTGAATGTTGACATTGTTTCTTCAAACCAGTTTGTACTTGCCAAAGGCTTAATTTAATTTTGGTTTATTACTTAATGGGTCAGAGTGTCCATGTCCAGTATTGGATATTTAAGGGAAATGGGTGCCATTACCATGGGGAATTTAGTCAAGGCAAAAATTATGGTGGTTAAAATAAGGCATACCTGTTTGTCCTCTATTTAATACTAACTACTGTAGCCACGCACTGAAGAAAAAGTTCTCAGACACTTAGACTTATCGGACATGCAGGGCTGCCTCTGCCAGTGAAACAGCAGCAGCAGCAGCAAATTGCTCATAGATTTTATTTCATGTTCACCAGGTATAAACATCAAAGAATGTTAAAGCATGGGAGGAAAACACAAAGAGCCTCCAAACATAGACCAAACATACATCTGGTGTTTACGAGA